GGTTGAGGTTGGCCAGGAAATGCTCCAGTCGGAGCTGCTATGGTTGGTTGTTATTGGGCTACTTGAGAAATTTGGGTTTCTAGCATTTTGTTGTGAATAGACATAACATTAATTTTACTTGTCATTTGTTTCATCAATTCCCTCGCATGAGCATTTTGATTTGCAAATTCTTTGTTTTGTTGAACTTGAGCGTTTATGAAGTTTTCCATCATGATTTCAAGATTTGACTTTCTAGGTACTTGTGGAGCTGATGATCCTTCTTTCTGATAATCAGGTGGAATAGCAGGTGCTGGACTTGGTGGATGCAAAGCATTGTTATTTTTATATAAAAAATTTAGGTGATTTCTCCAGCCATGATTATAAGTGTTTTAATATGGGTTTCCTTGAGAATACTTCACTTGGTCGGTAGAAACACCAGCCAATAACTGACATTCAACATTTGTATGTCCAGGGGTTCCACATAATTCACTACTTTGTGTAACTGCAGATATGGTAGCTGCTGATGGTGTTAAAGTTAAGCTATCAATCTTTTGAGTTAATGCATCCACTTTAGCATTTATACTATCTATGGCGTTAACTTCGTACATTCTGCCTTTCAGAGTTGGTTTTTTGGTAGCAGCGCGTTCTCCTTCCCATTGGAAGTGGTTTTGAGCCATGTTCTCTATGAGTTCAACGACTTCTTCATATGGTTTATCCACTAAAGCACCACATGCGGCAACGCTTAAATTCATTTTGGTGTTGTACAACAGACCATTGTAGAAAGTATGGATTATCAGCCATTGCTCGAGTCCGTGATGCGGGCAAAGCCTCATCATGTCCTTGTATCTTTCCCACGCATTGAAAAGAGATTTGTTGTCTTTTTGCTAAAATCCATTAATTTGGGCTCTCAGCATAGCTGTTTTGCTTGGCGGAAAATATCAGGTTAGAAAGACTCTATTCAATTCGTCCCATGTCGTGACAGAATTTGAAGGTAGAGACTGGAGCCAAGCTCTAGCTCTAGCTCTATTCTTAAAGAAAATGGGAAAGACGTAGTCTAATCGCTTCTTGACTGACACGGTTCGCTTTTCCAGTGTCGGCATATTGCACAAAAATTGGTAGATGTAAGTTTGGGCCATCCGTAGGACTTCCTGAAAATTGATTTTGTTGAACGGCTTGTAACAGCGAAGGTTTCAAATCAAAATCGTTTCGATTGATTGTTGGGGCAACAATGCTGCTATGAGGTTTATCTTGCGATGGAACAGCAAAATCCTTCAAGGGACGGGTTTACAGTCCTTGGGCCATGATTTGTTCTGGTTCTGTTTCGGTTTCCAAATCTGAGTAAAGCACGGTAGGATCTGAAAGGTTATATTCAATATGGAATTCATTTATTCGACGCCTTAAGCTAATAAAGTGCTCGATTTCGTCAAATGGTTGTTCTAACTCTTCGCCTTGTGAGTGAGTGCTTGGCATACAATTGAAAAATTATAGGAAAATAAAATAAAAAGAAAAAGTTGCCGTAGTCTATACTGTGCAACAAAAGATTCACAATATTGACTAAATCTGTCTGCGATAACAGCGCCAAAACCTTGACCGGTCAATACTGACGGATATATCTGCAAGCATACAGTTGATCGTGTAGTCTTAAAAAGATTGTCTAACCCACAGGGAAAGATAATCAAACTAATTTTATCTAAGGTTGTTGTTCAAAGCTAAGGCTTGAGTTAAACATGAGTTAACACTAATTACGGGGATGAAATCTAAGATCTGAAAATAATACTAAAATGAGCCCGAAATATGATTTTCGTGCACCTAAGGGACCTTGTAGGTAAAGGGTACTAATCATGTCTACACGCCTATTCCGTAGGATATACCGACTTAAAGGCTCTCCACCTCACGCTCTCGCGGTCTTAACTAAGCCGTACTTCTTAATCCCAAGATTTTGCTTTCGCTCGCCCGGTAACTAAGAATTACTCTTTGAAAGCCAATAATATCTTAATCAACATCTCATACACTTTCGCTGTATTTAGATATTGATGCCTAATTTCCACTATCCGGTTCACTCCTCACGCTCTCGCGGATCTCGGCTTAAACCTTTATTTGCTTCTCACTCTCGTGACGAAACAATGTCAAGTAACCTCTCACTCTCATGACAAAGCTACTTAAATTAGACTTAGAAATTACAACTAAAATGACATGCTTTACAATTTCGTACCTATTATAACTACGGAGTCCCGTCGGTTACGACGATCCTCATAAGACGGTCTCTAATTAATTTATCCGGACATAATGAATTCTAATCCTAACATGTTAACAATTCTGAAAATTACAACATGCATAATGAATTGATTTTAAGAAAATATTAGTTTTGGTTTCTATGGAAATAAGTTAAGTTGCAGACACGTAGAAATGAAATGCAGTAAAAACAGAAAAATAAGAACTTGTAAATTGTGTGGACTAAATGAAAAACAAACTTTAATTAATCTTCGATCCGATTATACAGCAGCACGACGGAAAAATAAAGTACAATACTGCAACAATTCCTTGGTGTGAGCAATTGTTGCTTTGGAAAGGAAATACGTGGTTAAAGGTCTAAAAAATATTCAGCAGCGCTTCCACACGAGTTGGATATTTTGAACTACCCTCCAAGGGGTCTATTTATAGAGGATAATGCAGTTGTGTAACTCCCATTTCGAATTCTAGATTTGGAGGGAAAATAACTGCTAGAAACTGCTCAAAAATCGAATTCTGCAGTTAAAACTGCTCCTGCAAACTGTACGACGATCGTCGTGGCGCCCATGGTGAGCGCCATGGTCTCTATGGATGTGAGGTGGCCTTCAGGAGGCAGATGGCGAACGCCATTTGAAGGTGGCGAGCGCCATATCAAAGAAGCTGGCAGATCTCCTAATTTTTGCCGTTCTACCTGGATTTTTCTTCTCTTTCACTTCTTTTCTTGATTTCTTCTAAGATCTCGACGGGAACACCTGACAACACAAAAACAGAGTAAGAACACAATAAAATGCAAAAGACTCAATAAAAAATCGGACCTAAAATGCACAAAGTGAGCCTAAAAATACGATACAAAATCATGTTATCAAGTCCATTCAGAATTCTTTGAATTCTTCAGAATTTACGTTATTTATGGGATGAAGTTAACTATTTTCTTCTATTTTTATTTTTTATTTTATTTTTTTAAACATGAAAGACTAACATTAAGAAGATAACAACAACACAAAACATAAATTCTTCATTCATTACTAAGAAATTGAAATAAAATTAAAATTGTAGAAATTAAAGTGATCATAGCAAAATCCTAAACTAAATTAGTAGATGATAATGATAATGATAATGGTTGATTGGTTTTTTTTGGTAAACATGTGACATGACAGAAGCTACCATACCCCTAAACATAGAGTAAGGACAGGGTCCTCACTGTCATTTGGTGAGTAGTGGCACACCATGACTCGTCAAACTATAGAGCAAGATGAAAATACCAGCTAGGCTTAAAGCATGTCGCTCTTCCTTATGACTTTGTCTTCCTTCTTCTTTTTTATTTTCTCTTTCTTATCTTGACTTTCTTTAACTTTCTTTGGAGTCTCACTGACAGTTTCAATCATGACAACTTTAGTAGTTTCTTTTTCCTTTATTTGGCTCTTTTTCTCAGGGGTTTTGCTTTTACTAGGCTCTTCTTTTTTGTTGGCGTCTTCTTTGGAACTGGATTGTTGGGTTTCTCTAGAGTTTTTTGCCTTGTTGGGATGACAATCTTTGACATGACATGACTCTTCTTTATGTCCTCAATAAGCTCAGATTCATAATCAGACTCTTATGATGCCTCAAAATAAACATTTTTCTCATTTGTAGTGTCCTTTCATCTTCAACATTGTCCTTATTTTCCTCATCAAATTGGGCTTCCTCCATTACTTAAACATTGTCTTCATCATTTTTTGCCTCATGCATATCAGTTTGTTCATTTTCCTCAATATTTTCAAAGGTACATTTTTCTTCAGCTCCTCATTGTCCTTTGTTACTTGCTTAATTAGGTCATTTAGGGTCCTATCAGCATCTTCCTCTGAGTTTTCTCAGCTGGTTTATTAATGTCAAACTTCTTCACTGGGATTTTCTCCCTTGGCACTGGATTCACATGGGTCTTCACCTTCTTTGCCTTCTTGGTGTATATGGGGTTTCTATTTGGTCTCTCATATATGTCTTCTCCTGTCATGCCAGAGCTTAACTCTGGTTGTGACTTGAAAGACACCTGCTTTTTAGCCTTTTTCTTTTCTTTATTTTTGAAGTAATAAAACACTTCCTTTTTCATGATCTGTCACAAGCATGATACCACTCTTCAGGGAATGTCATAAACCATTTACAATCACATATTATCATCTGAAATAAAATGAATAAAACTACAATTTATTAAGCCAGCCTTCTTCCCAATAACACTATTTTAAAGTCTTGTAGCCTGACTTTCAAAACAGTTGTTTGCATAACACGTAACATCACACACGAACAATTTTAACTACTCTTGATATATAGGATGACGCACGTTATTTCAAAAATTCAATTTCATTCTCACTCACACAGTACTTTTGATTTTTTTCACCGACTTGAGTATTGGAATACTAATCTTACAAATTAGCTGCATATTTCGCGAATCAGAAATATAAATCCAAAATAAAAAGACACAACTTCATTATCTCACTACTCTTTTCTAATTCTTAACCAAGCACATGTTTTCATCCATCTTTATTTCTATCTATATATTTCTATATATATTTTCTGACTAGAGTATTATGGTTTGTTTATTTATAAAATATTAATAAAATAATATGTTTAGATAGATATGTAATATCACGTATACAATGTATATAAATTAAAAATTTATTTTTATTAATATTTCTGGAAAATATACATATATTATTTCATGATGGTGTCTATCTCCATAACAATCTAGAGAAAAAGGAAATATAAGATTAGAAAATGCAATAAATAGGAAATAGACTCTAGAATTAAAGAGGACCAATTTGTTAATATTGCAAAAAGTTCACTAAATTTCTTCTGTCATTATCATTGAAATCCACAGAATCCATCAACTGTGTTAGCCTTTCACTCAGATCTTCTACCTCTTTCTGCAACCTCCTAATGTGATTCAAAGTTTCCTGCAAGATCTTCGACGCTGATTGCTGCAACAAAACACAAATTAAATACAAAACTTTATAAAAAAAGATTATCTACAAATATTTATATATAAATTACTTTTACATATAATGCTGTAGATATTGTTCATACCATTCTCTACAAATTAAATATTGCAAGTGTCATCAACAATTTTAAAAGATATGAAAAATCTAATATGGATCTTTGAAAAAAATTTATAGGCGAATCTTATTATTTTTTAGTAAAAAACATAGAAGATAAATATAATATATTTTAAAATTTTACTAAAAATAGTAAAATCTATAATTAGACCAAGATCATCCTTTAAAATTTTTTTAATATATTTTCAATTTTGCACAAGTTATAATTTTTAAATTTATTCGACTCAAAAATTTTAAAATTTATATAAGTTTTAGAAAAATAAAATTGTCTAAGTTTTATTTATTGTTTCCAAAAAATAGATAATTTTTGAAACACAAGTTAATTATAAACTAATTTATTGTTTTTTTAATGTGAAAAAAGCCATATAAGCCAAAAAAATTTGGTGGCATAAATAAAATATAATAAAAATAAATAAATAAACTGGCCCAGTTTTTCAAATGCTTCCAAACTCAGTTTGAAGAAACAATCTCTTCATCAATTATCAGCTTACACAATCCAAACATGTCATTAATTTGTTTTTTTCCTTACACAATCCAAGGAAAACTCCTATGTTGTCATGAGTCATACATATATTAGTCATAATTATTGGCTTCAAAACTTTAGTGCAAGTAGTTTTCTTTCGCTTACAATTTTGTCATGTAATCCTAACCAGGGTTTTTAAAAAAATCCATCATCATAAAAACATATGTGACAAAACAGTATTATCTGTTCATATTGATATTACTGATTTTATATTAAAGAATAAATTATAATTAATCTATATCACGATGACTGCAATTTAACGTGATTACGAAACGACCGTCAGTTTTTTAAAATTCTGATACTAAATATTGAAATTATTGAAGAAAAAACACAATTGTAACAATGTATATGAATTATTCATGATTAGGTTTTTGTACATGATGAAATGAATGAATCTTACCCTTGAAGTGTTTCTTTGGTTAAGCTGAGGAAGTAGAAGTTGTAATCTTGACACAAGATCATTAATCTGTTTCTCTTTCATCTTTGAATCTCTTGAGTTTCTTTGGTCAGACATGACTCTCTCTCTTTTGATCTATATTTATTTTTCTTTCTTGAAGTGTGTTGTTGTTACACCAAAAGAAGGTGTTTAAATAGAGTGAGAAGTTAGTGACTGTTTGGCATAAGACAGTACTGACAAAACATTGATTAAATTGAATTTTGAGTTGTTGAATCAAGCTCTCTTTATCACACATTTTAGTAGTACATACATAAATGGCCCACTACTACTGTTGATTTTAGGTTTGTTGCCTAACGAAAACCTTTAGAATAGGATACTATTACCTTTCTTCATGCATGTATCCTTAAGGACAAGCAACATTAATATTATTGTTTTGGTGTTGATTATGGACAGCATTTATTGTAATATGATGTTTTGGTTTGGATTAAATATTGAGGAGGGTTCCATGATATATAATGATTTTTTTGTAATCTTTATTTTCATAATTTATGATATTTATACAATTAAATAACATTTACGATGCACTGAAATCGAGTAATAATGTTAAAATAAACGCACATTTTTTCCACCAATATATTATACCATAAACTTTTACATTCTAGAACATTTATATTACTTGTGGATCATAGAAGTAGCCATTGAAATAAAGATATACCACAGAATGTCAAAATCGGACAAATAAAAAAATCTAGCAACATAACATGAAAACAACTGCACAATGCAGTTAAACATAGCAACAACCGTAAAACAGTAAGTGTCAGAAACAGAATCTACTAATAAGAAACAGAATCACAAAAACAGAGAAATGTAATGCAGAGAAAATAAACATTATAGTAATATAGTATAATTTAATTAATTTTTTTTAAAGTCATAAGATAGACTAATTTAAGATTACGAATCTCAACAGCCATATTTAAATTAGAATAAAATTTTCTTGTAAATTGTCAAATTATTTGTATTTAATAATATTCAAATCTGAGAGTTCGAGAACAACTTTTCGAATTTCAAATTTTCATTAACATAACTATTTTTGGAAATTATAATTTTATTATAAATTTTAATATATATATATATATATATATATATATATATATATATATATATATATATATATATATATATATATATATATATATATATATATATATATATATATATATATATATATATATATATATATATATATATATATATATATATATATATATATATATATATATATATATATATATATATATATATATATATATATATATATATATATATATTTGAAAATTTAGTATCCAATCATAAAATCGACTAATTTTAAAAGATCAATCTTATCCTTTATCATTCATTAACGGATGTGAATTTAAAATCCAAACAAATCTTTGTATGAGCAATACATAGAAAATGTTTCCATTTCATAAAATTCAAATCTAAAATCTTTAAGGTTTGTTTGAGATTTAATTTTTGGAGGATTTTGAAGAATAAAACTTTGAAATATTGCATTTATATTAAAATTTATTTAATATTTTAAAAAAGTTTAAAAAATAATTTATTCCATTAACATATAAATCATATTATTTATTAAAATTTCAAAAATATCAAACACATATTCTAAAATGTTTTCCTTCAAATCTATTCGAAAACTAATTTTCAAACAAATTCTTACGAAAACACATTCTCATATCCCAAACTTTCAATAACTTTCATCAATAAACTTACTTTCTCTGATGTTATAATTTAACTATAGTTACTTCATATGTAATCTTCACTATTCTTAATCTTTAATATTCTTGTTGGTTAACCTATCAAAATCTAATTAAAATTAAGAACAATCTAGTTAATTTAAGGTGATTAAAGAATATACATGGCCCACATTTGCTATGTTTAGTTATAATGAATTGTAACTAAGAACAACAAAGAAACTTTCCCTCTTTAGCCTTATAGAATAATTTAACTAATTTTGGACTTATTCACCACATAGCTAGTTTTGATGCAATCTTAATCTAGCATTGGTGGGAACACAAAAGATCTAATAGAATTTGCCAGTAGATAAATAGGCAAGGAACAAACATAAAAAAACATTGTTTGTTGAAAATAAATTTTTGAATATTGTGAGTCTCTTATTTTGGTTTGTAATGAGTTAGAATATTCAATTGAAAAAGATATTATTTAAAAGAAATACTTGTTCACACATTTTGTATGAATCTTCCTATGTCTTTGTTATTGGTGTGTAAACCCATCAACAAATATAAGCTACATATATAATGATAATCAATTCAATTTATTTAAATAATCAATTTTTGTTAGTGCATGAAATAACTTTTAGTGAAAAAAGAATTTGTGTGGTCAATAATCATAAATTCTTTGCTTTTAAAGTCTCGTTGAAATAGAATTCCATAATTTGTTGATCATTTTAAGTATTTCGGGAATCTTCTTGCAGCTTTCATGTGTAACACCCTTGATTCACTCATGTATCTATTCACTAATCTGATTGATAAACCTATATTAGGTCGACTGTTGCACACATATCTCAGAGATCCGACAATTTATTTGAACAAAGTTGAATCGACTTTGTCTTCCTCTCCATGCTTTTCGAACTTCAAATTTGGTTCGACGGACGAAGATGCAGAAGTCGAATCATCCATCCTGAATCTCTTGAGTATCTCTTTGACATACTTTCTTTGATGTAGCCTCATACCTTGCTTCCACATTTGAAATTCCTGTTGTACCCCAAAATTTGACCAACCTCTTTTCTTAATCTTTGGCTTATGTTTCATTGCACTTTAGCATTTTTGCATTTGCATAGCATAGTTCTTACAGGGGATCAAGTGTTTGTTTGTGTATCATCCAAGAGGAAAGTCTTTATTAGTTTCAAGCTCAAGTAAAGGCACTGGTACAAACCATCAGAAGGTTGTCAAGGGGTCCATAAGATTTTTATCATTAGTGTGAACATGAGGTAGAAGTTTGTTGAACACATCAGAGGTCATGGTGGAGTGGAAATGGTCACTCAGTTCATCTAAACAATGCCCAGGCAAAAAAGGAGAAATTGTTTCAATTTTAATCAGGATAAAATTTGTTTTTTGGAGGAAAAATTTGTTTCCGTGGTCTTCCATATGTCCTAAGGTGTTTGAGGATGGGTGATTGACCACCAATTTTAATCAGAAGAGCACCAATTGATTAGTTGATTGAAAATCGGGAGATTTGGAGAAAAAGTCAACTATGCAGTGGAAAAGTCAACTCCTGACTTTTTGAGGTAAAGATCGTGATCCTTGAGTTCAATATGACCAATGGATGGAACTTGATCAAGAAAAGTCAAGGGAATCATGAAAAATCAAAGGTTGTTGAAAGTTGCCATTTTGGGAATTAGGGTTTTAGAAACTTTCCATTTTTGGAAAGTTTTATGTTTGGAACAGCCATCTTCAAAGCCATTTTTCTTCATGATCAAGGTTTCAAATGAACCTCTGGCCAACATCAAAGTTGTTCCTTGTATCTCAAGCTTTCTTTTGAGTACCAATTCATAATCATATGATATTTGGACCTCAAGTTATGATCAATCAAAGTTGGAGATTTCAATGATTTCAAAAGTTGTTAAGTTTGGGCAGATTTTTGCACCACTTTGCAAGCCAATTTTCATCACCCTCTTGATGTCAAATGAAACTTTGTCCCAAATGAAAGTTGTAGAGTGTGTTCCAAGCTTTCCAAAGAGTCCAAGAAGTCCTCAATTGGATTTGAGAAGCTCAAGTTATGGATGTGCAAAGTTGGGAAAAAATAAGCCAATTTCATAACTTAGATTTTTTTCTAAGTTATTCATGAGCAGTTTGCTTGCCACCATTTTCAATCCCAAATTTCATGACCTTCCAATCCTCAAATCAAGATAACTCCAACATGAAATTTGTTCTACTCCATGCCCTCTTTCATTTGAGTCCAAGATCAAAGTAATTGGATTTGTGAGCACAAAGTTATCATTGATCAAATTGGTACATTGAACATTTTTGCCAAAGAATGAAAGGTGGGTTTTGTTGATTTGCTTTTGTTCATCAACCTTAACACTCTCCCATGCGTATGAGAGGCTGTGTTTGTTGCTTCCAAGTTTTGCCAAAACCAGCCTAATACCTCTTTTTGCAATTTTGTTCATTTTAAAATAATTGCCCAAATGAGCTATGAGCCAAAATCAACACAACCCAAGGTCTTCCCACACTGTTGCAAGGAAAGCAACTGATGCAGCAGCTGCAACACAATTTCTGTGTCCACCCTTGATTCAAAAAGTGACCATGAAGATGAAGATCTGCCCATTCAATTTCTTACCTTGCTCACCTGATTTCCGTCAGTATTTAAGCTAAGCATCAGTCCACACAAACCCTAGCCACCATTTTGAAAGAAAAATCAAACTTGCATTTTTGCTCTCCTCTGAAAAATTCCCTCGAATCTCACTCATGTCCTCACCATTTTTCAAACACTTTATCACCTCAACACTACTTGGAAGCTGTTTGCCAAAAGGAGGAGTTGTTGATTTTTCTCTCAAGCTGTTCTGAAAACCAGTTGTTTGTTTGCAAAGGGAAAGAGCTTCAAAACTTTGTTTTTTTGCTGCTAGCTTATTTTGGAGTTTGCAAGAGGTAAGCATTTCAAACCCTCTGATTTATTGCATCAGTAGCATTAAAACATGTTCTTTTTCTGTTTGTGTTCTTGAATTTTTGTTTGAACCTGTTGAGAGCATTAATGTTGTTGTGATCAGTAACTGTTGGACTGTCATTATGGTGTGTGTAGGTTTTGCTTACTTTCATGAAACTGCTAACATATATTGTTGTATTGTGTAGTGTTTTTATGAATTAACATAGTCTTGTTTAGTTGATGCTATGACCTTATGTTAGATTTTGTTTGGTTGGTGATGATCAGCAGTTCCACACTTAATGTTTGTGTGTGCTTGTCAAGGTTTCATAGGAAACAGTTGGCTTGAGGCATAATGATTAAAGCAAGAATGCTATACTGCTGCTAGGCCATTTCCTCATTGTTCTGTTTTTTATTTATTTTGCTGCTATCATGGTTGTGGTGATAGTTATGTTGAATTTATA